GTGCGTGTGTTTTACAAATTGAGTTCGTTCGTTTACAAGTGTGCGATTATAAAATAATTCATTCTGTAATTATTTGTTGATAGTTCGGCTTCTCTAATAAATTCGTATGGGACAATTTATCGTTCGAGTTGATTCTTATCGGATATGCGAACTACGATTGTCAGTTGTAAACAACCCCAGCGAATTTATAACAATATATTTATATATCAATCAAGCTTATAGTTAAATTTACACGGCATATCCTTTAAAGCATTGTCAAGTTTCTTTTTAAAATCATAAACATTGCATGCATTCACCACACCCTCTCCCAGACCGACCCACATGTCAACCACTCGATTACAAAAAGAAAATTTGTAATCGAAAAAAAAATAGATTATGAAGAACACTATTAAAATTAGATAGCGGAAAAGAAGAATAAATATAAGAATCATCAGCGTATGGTTGACTAGTGAAAGAAAAATTATTAATAATACGAGGTAGTTCAGATGTATAGAGTTAAATAAAAGAGGTCCAAGGATAGAAACCTGAGGTATCCCAAAAGTAAGAATAGAGTAGTTAGAAGCAGAATTATTAATAGCAACAGAAGAAAACAATAACAGAGATAAGAAGAAAACCATGATAGACAAGAATCAGTATTACTAAAAGAACGATCTAGCAGTCTCCAGAGAATAGTATGATCAACGGTATCACAAGCAAATAAAAAGTCAAGAGTAAGAAGAAGAGTAAGATTACTACTGTCACTAGAAAGACAAATATTATTATGTATTTTGAGCAAAAAAATTCAGTATTTTGAGCAGATCTGAAACCAGATTGAGATACATGTACCAAAGAGTTAAAGTTTAAATATAATAATAATTGATTGTAAACTACTTTTTCTATTATTTTAAAGATGAAAGTAATACTAGCAACAGGTCTATAATTAGATAAAAAAGAAGGTTCTAAATATGAGTTTTTAAAAATAGGAATAACAGTAGAATTGATAGAAGTAGTAAATTGGGATTTATAGAATAGACAGACACTCCCATAAAAAGGATGGGAGAAAGAGAGAAGATCTTCTGAGGGTCTAGAGTGTTCAAGAAAGCTGTAACTATCAGGAGTAGCAAGAATAAGAAAAGGAGAGTTAGAGTTTCATGCTAAGTTTCATTAAGTCAAAAAAAAAATCATGTAAAGAGAAAGAGATAATTTGCTGAATATAAAGTGATTTTTTATTAATAGATATTATGTTAATATTAAATAGTGAAACTGTAGAAGTAGGTTGAATATAGATTTTTTATGTCTAGTTATATTATTTAAATTAATAGAATTATTATTTTTATTATTAATTTAGTATTAATTGCATTAGAATAGAATTTATTTAATTTATTATGCTTGCTGTTAGTATTATTACTGTTACTAAATATATTTATTTTTTTATTAGTCACATTAGAATTATATTCATTGCACCTATTATTATTAGACCTAAGATTAAAGTAAAAGATTCGCCGCCGAACTACTCTTGCCGTAGACAAAGGAGTATCAAAGAAAGGCTTAGAGGAGAAAGTCTTTAAAATAAGACATAATAATTTTAACAAGATATAGAAAAAGATATAGAAAAAGACAATTATAGTAAAATATAAAAAAAATCACTTGTTCAGAAGCGAAAAAAAACAAAAAAAAACCACTTAAACTACAAAACCACCTTCAATTATTATTATTTTAAATTGATTTTTTGTTAATCTTATATATTTTTTATATTGTCCAATAGTTCACACATTCGTCGTTCATACACACGTTACTGAAATATATCAAATGCAAAATACGTAATTTAATACATTTATAGCTTTTTTACTTATAGAGCTATACAATTTACAGTAACATGTATTGAACACTTGTTTGTACTAAGCATATGGTCTTTTCTTTTTTCACGATCTCTCCTAGCATAGTATATAGGTCGGTCGGTCGGTGTAGCTTATTTCAGTCTCATGCCATTATCGATTTCGTCTATCGCGTGTGGTGGCGATATCTGAGACTGAACTTGGCAAATTATTAGCAAACTCAGGTATTTTTTAATTATTTGTTTCGTTTAGTCTGACAAAAATTATTTTTTAATTTTCTAAACTTGCTAGGCACTAATGGTAAAAGAACAATTAGTGTTGGTTACTGTTAGTTACTACTAACACTAACCTATAGTAATAAAATTGTATTATATAGTTATAGTATATTATATACTCATAGTAAACATGTAATAGAAGAAATATAGTACGTTAGTAGACTTATGAGGCGGACACACTCACCCCTGTGCAGTACAGCTTTTGTTTAATAATAAATGCATAGGTTTGCCGGATCTATTACACGCTCTATAAATAAAAAGCTGGTGATGTAATCCGACATGCCTCTCCTCAATTTTTTTACATTTTAAAATCTGCCTACATTATGAACAAGTGATAAATTGAAGAAGTATATAGAAGAATATAGTCATATATATATATATATATATATATATATATATATATATATATATGTATATATATATATATATATATATAACCATTCAATATAATATAGGATTGTTCAAAAAGTAATTTAGTTTTTGTGGTGAAAATAAAAGACGATCTTATAATGAATAAATATTTAAATAAATTATATCTTGGCCATTCTGATCCAACACCTTTTGCCATCTTTCTGATAGTAGCATGATCCAGGCTCATAAAATTTTTGGTCTTTGCTGGCAAAAAACTGATCCAGGTAATTTTTTACGTCCGAAAAATTTTACAGTGACTGGAGCAAATAATCCGAAGGATCTAGGTCTGGAGTATATGGTGGGTGTGGCAGTACATCCCATCCAAGCTGTAAAAGCTTTTGGCGAGTGACCAAACTTGTATGAGGTTTCGAATTATCTTAGTGGATAACACTACACCTTTTCTGTTTATTAATTCTGGCCTTTTCTGTTGAAGTGCATCATTCAGTTCATTCAGCTGATGGCATTAGACTTCCGAATTAATTGTTGTGTTATCCAGTAAAAGCTCAAAAAAGTGACTCCTTTAAAATCTCACCAAACAGACAGCATCACCTTTTTTGATGGATATCGGCTTTTGAAATGATCTATTGCATGATCTATTGCACTTGCATGATCTATTGCATGATCTATCTTTTCCATGATCTATTGCACTTGACATTGTTATATACAACACATTTTTCGTCCCAGTAACGATGCGCTTCAAAAATGGATCATTTTCGTGACGTTTGAGAAGTGAAGCACAGACGTCTACACGACGACACAAATTTCTCCGTGAGGACATGGGGAAACCATATATCGAACTTCGAGGTTAAACCCAGGTTATTCAGGTGGTCATAAACTGTTGAATTTGATTAATTTAACCTCTTACCGATTTCACGTGTTGTTATTCGCCGATTTGCATCAACTAATGCCTTTATCCAGCTTTTATCAGCTTCGACCGGCTTTCCAGAACGTGGTGCATCTTTGACATCAAAATTGCCAGATCGAAATTTTGCAAACCAGTTCTGACGCATCTCCTCCATACACATCGGTTAATTTCTTTCTGGCTTGCATTTTTACCTTTTCTAAAACATGGCAAAAATGCTGCTCATTGCTCTTAATATTTCAAAGAGCACTGACCAAAAACTACTGCGTAAAATCAATTGAACTTAATCACACACAAGCTTTGCTATATCAGCTGTCAAAACATATTGTTATAAATTCGCTGGGGTTGTTAACAACCGACAATCGTAGAGTTCGCATATCCGATAAGAATTAACTCAAACGATAAATTGTCCCATACGAATTTATTAGAGAAGCCGAACTATCAACAAATAATTACAGAATGAATTATTTTATAATCGCACACTTGTAAACGAACGAACTCAATTTGTAAAACACACGCACTTCAACTTGTACTTGCCACACTTGGTAACTTTCTGTAAACACACATCTCTTCAATTCGTATGTCGTCCCCTTTATACAGCTTTCTTTTGCAATGCATAGACATTTTACAATACGGCGTACCATAGATAATTATTGTCATAATTATGGTGCGCTGTATTTGGTATGGTATGGTATTGTTATGGTATTTATAACAATATAATGGCAATGCGACTTATGTTTGAAGTTAGCTGTGAAAAAATACAATTATATCTTCTGTTGGGAATAAACGAAATTACTTTCCAAACAATATAATATAATATTGTATGAGATCGACAAAAAATAAAAATTAATCGTTACTAGAAAAGAAAAATGTTAAACTCATAGGTATGTTAGAAAAGATGTGAAAGATCGTGCACGGTGTTATGTACAAAAATGCCATGTTTATAAATTTTGGAACCCCAAGATTTTGATTTGTTTATAAATAAATGTTATTGAATATTGTTATTCATATGTTGATCAATTATGAAAGTTAATAATAGATAATTAAAATAATAAACAAATTAAAAACCAATATTTCTATTGGAATAACTTTGAAAATGTGAAAATTCGTATGTAAAGTGTTTGTGTACAATATTTATAACATTATTTACGTATTTAACGTGTTCATGTGTTTATATAACTAATCTGTGGACTTTTAATAATTGGAGCTTTGAGTTTATCTTATTCTGCCACAGACATCTATATTGATACCTAAGAACAGAAAATTAAATTATCACCATGTCAAACACATTTACACTGAAAATTATGCTGCTTTAAATGATTAGTGGTATTATCCCCTTAATACAGTACGGTTGCAGTGTACGAATGCCTAATTTTGTGTTTTTTATTTTCTACATCAGGTTTATTTTTTTACCATAATGCTTCCAAATATGTTTGTAGCAATGAAGACAATTCAAGTTTTATATCGGCCTCATCTGCTTAGCTTGGCTTGGTTCAGCTCGGCTTAGCTACACTAATCTGAACATAAATTAGCTATACAAATTTTTATTATAAATAGAAACAAGTAAATAATATTTATCACAAAATTGTTTATAAATTAAATATTTAATTGCAAGGTTTAAATTGGATGAAAAGACAGATGTTTGGAATAAGAAGTTCAAAGTTTCGTCATTTGTATGGCTGTGTGAGTAGAAAAGAAGATTGTTATGAAGGAGTGAAAGTAACTTCTAATGCACATGATAGCAATTTTTGTGAAGTTAACCCAAAATTTGTAGCCATTGTCATAGAATCTATAGGAGGTGGAGTGTTCATTGTGATACCTATCAATCAAGTAATTGAATCATTATTATCAATGGCATAGCCAAAAATTTGCAACGGGTAGGGTCTTGGAGGTTTTCCATATTTTTATGGAACATTTTTTGACTAACAAACCATGCATATTTATTATGAAAATGGAGCCTTAGTATTTTGACTGGAATGTTGATCAAGAAGCGTTTTCATAATTAGATTTTACTTTTAGCTTTTGCAGGTCGTAATCGGCCAGTTGTCATATTTTATTTGCTAAATTTTATTTTATCTTTAGCTTTTGCAGCTGTTCTCAGTCAGTGCTCATATGCTTCTTAAAATGTTTCCTGCTCTTGCTTCCAGCAGTTTATAATACAATAAGAATAACGATAGAGAACGAGAAAATGTAATAGAGCTATTCTAATATTAAAATTTATTATATATGTTTAAAAACTGTGTTGTATTTTAGATTTATTATAGAAATATTACTTGAATTCATGAATACAGCTACTAATAAAAATGTCATTTATCCAGCGACTTATATATAGTGTCTGAAGGAACAAATAACTTTTCAGATGATTTTTGAAAAGGTGAAGTATTGGTTGTTACCGAATGAACAATGTTTCATAATGATGATGCATGAATGGAAAAACCATGATTAACAAAAGCGAATTTGTTAATGGGTTGATGTGGATTGGTTATTGAATCTGATCGAATATGATGATTAGTATGATGTCTTAAGCGCTGGAGATTTATGAAGTTGAGTTAGTTAGTTTGTTTTGAACATGCTTGAGGGAAAAAATGAGTTTGAAAGATGTGCAATTAAAAGAGTTAAAGTAGTCAAAACGATAGAGAACGAGACCGCGAGCTAGGGTAGAAGCCAAACCAGAGAGATAGCGACAAATATGACGAATTGAACACACGTTATAGTTACAAGATTTTTTAGTGGACAAAATTTGAGAGTGAGAGGATCAAGTATTACCTAGGAGTTTGACACTACTTGAGATTGGCAGAGAGAAGCCAACAATATTGTGTTGACAAATATGGAGGAGAGCCTTTTGAAAGCTGTTGATGGCTGTCCAGGAACACGACAACGGATTAAGTTTCAGGATTAAATTGAAAAAAGTTAGGTGTCAATCTTTGATGGCAGCTGTGCAAACGTTTAGGTTATCAAGTTGTGTTGTGATTGTAGATTGAAAAATACTTGTGATAAAGCAAGTGTCATCAGCATAGTGAGGAAAGGAAATGCCAAACTTAGAAAAACTTGATAGTGGCAAATGTGGCAGATATGTCCGTTCTAAGCCACCACCGCTCAGTTTTGACTCCTGCATATGCTGGCAAGTCTGTTTCAGTTGAAAAATACGTGGCCTAAAGGCAGACAAAAAAGAAGGATGTTAGGAGAAGAAGTGATGTGAAGAGTTTAGTTTAGTGTCAAACGTTCTGAAAGTAAAACAAGAAATAAAAAGGATGAATCTCAACATTCTAGGATTGAGCGAAACTCGGTGGAAGAAATCAAGTATCATAACCTTTGAAGAAGGCAGATTTATTTACTCTGGAGGTGATTCACACGAACGATGAGTAGGTTTACTTTTGAACAAAGAAATGTCCAATGATTTAGAAGGCTTTTCGGCGTTGTTAGATAGAGTTTTGGTTTTTTTGGTCAAAATACACGAAAAACCATTCAACCTAGCTGTTATTCAAGTTTATGCGCCAACTTCTGAAAGCGGTGAAGAAGACCTTGATGCTTTCTACAGTAATCTTGATGGTGCTTTAAAAACATTTAAATCTCAAAAAGTTATTTTTATGATGGGTGACCTGAATGCAAAGATTAGCACAGAAAAAAAACATGACGGGATTGGTTCTCATGGGATAGGTGAAAGAAAAGAAAGAGGAGAAAAGTTGATTGAATGGTGTGTCACAAATGATCAAGTTATTACCAACACCTGGTTCGACAATCACCCAAGGAGAAAATATACTTTGAAGAGTCTCGGAGACAAGGCACGAAATATGATTGATTACATTACAATAAATAGACAATTTCAAAATGTTGTTTTACAATACAAAATTTATCCTGGAGCTGATTGTGGCAGTGATCATAACCAAGTTGTTTGTAAAATCAGGATAAAGTTGAAGAAAATCCAGAGTGAATGGCCCAAAAACGTTTGAATTTTGTCAGTCTGTCACAAAATGATGAGATAAAGGTCAAGTATTACGTCGAAGTAGGGAATGGTTTTCAGTTATTAACGGAAGAGGTAAATAAATCTAAAAATACATAAATGATTAGAGAAATACATAAATATTTAGAGATGCCTTCACAGAATCAGCAGAGGAAGTTTTACCTGTGAGAGAGCAAAAAAGAGGTCATGAATGGATAACAGATGACATCGTATCTGATGGATGAACGAAAGAAAGTGAATGGTTGTGGCACAAGAAACGAATGCTACGAATGATCAGTGAACGAGCGATTGATATGAAGAAAGTTGTTTATATTGTTTAAAAATATTGTTTTTAATTAAAAAATTAGACCAATTACAAAATCAAAAAACCGTTGCAATTACAAGCAGAAAAATGGAAAACCGCAATAAAAAATTTTAAACACTGCATATATAAACATGCACCAATGTATTCTGCATGCCCCCATCCTATTGGCTATGCCTCTATTTAATTTTTTTAATTATTTTTTAGTTTCCATGTGGTATTAAAAATATTTACTGATATTTATTGAATTCATTATTTTAATTTAGATTTTTTTTTAATGTTAAATTATAAAATTTTTTAATGTAACACCTGAATTCATATTTAAAATTCAAGGTCATGGTTTCTTACATCGCTTACATTCACTCTATACTCTTCAAACCTATTCAATTTTGTTTCTGTTATATGGATAGTTTTGGGCCTAAATGAAAATTTAATTGACATTAAGCTTTTATTTATTATTATTATTGCGTTGGTTACCGAACAAGAATTTTGTATTCTCGCAGCTTGCTCTTTTGATAGCAATAATCCTGTTTTATCGTAGTTATAATGTTGTTACAGACGTGAGATCGAGATAAAAACTAATAGTTAGAAATTGTTAGGCATGCACTGAGAAATTAACCGCTTGTAAATTAATTAGGTGTGAAGTAATTAAAATGGTTGTAAATTCATTTGTGGATGTGACACTGCGATATGACACATTTACAAGCAGATCGGTAGCTATATAAACAACGCAGAAGCGAAATGGGACACACAGAGAAAAGAGAACAACGAGGAAGAAGACGGAACATAGGGAACTAGAAGTGAGATTCGATGCGAAGTCGTAAATATAGCTATTCGGATTAATTTATTGTTTCTATTACTGCTGGTATTAAATAAACGTTCAATTAGTTTGCGTTTAAAGTAGTTGTGTTCATCTATCGGAAATTTTTAACCTACCGATAAACGAACTCTTGACTATCGTTGGAAGCTACAACACGGTGCTGGAGATATAGCGAGTATTGAAGCTATAACATCGGTGTTGATAGTTACGAGGTCGAGGAGATTACAACACTGGTGTTAGAAGTGGGATCTTCAGGAGATTACACACTGGTGACAGAAGTAAGATTTTGATAGCTGGAAACTCACTGCAGTAAGAACGCCAGGGGCTAAAAGAACTCAATATAATTAGTCTGATTAGAGAAGCTTAATTATTGACGATTGGTTGTATTCCGTGATTTATCTGTCGATTAATTATTGTACTGTATTCTACCGATTATAACGATTGAATAAATGGTTGATCACAGCAATACACACAAGTTATTGCCAACATTGTTTTCTTTCTGATAAAGTTCATTTAAAATGAGTCGGTTCAGGAGTCAAGAATCCACGTAGAGAGAAATAACTGTACCCTACAAGTTCAAAGGGCCGGTTATAACAATATTTAAATTTGGTTTTATCAGTTTCGCAAATTTGTAGTGGATATGGTTGTCGTTTTAATTCCAAATTTTAACAAAAACTGGATTTTATATAATTTAATTTGTTTTTTTAATTAATTTTAAATCAAACAATTTAATAAACGCGACTATATATCCGATAAAATATCCGCTCTTATAGTAGATTCAATGGAAAAACTGCAAACAATTGTTTCCAAACTGGTTTTTGGAAGTGAAAGGAAAGGCTTTCAAATTAACATCAACAAAACATGATTATCAATAAAAGCAAAATCACCTCGGTACTCTCCATAATCATTAATGGTAAACAGATGAAACAAATCAACAGCTTCAATTATCTCGGAAGTCTGATTACCTCAGATTGTAAATGTGATATGGATATCAAAAGAAAGATAGCTATGGCGAAAGATGTATATTCTAAAATGAAAAACATCCTCACCAACAGTAAAATCAGAATATCAACAAAATTAAAACTGTTAAGGTGTTACATTTTTCCTGAACAATTTCTAAAAAAAAAATAGAAAAAAAGATTATCGCTGCTTAGATGTGGTTTTAGAGAAAAATTATGAAAATTTGTTGGACCTCTCATACTTCGAACGAGGATGTTTTAAACAGTCCGGTTATAAAAAGAGGAAATTACTACAAATAATCAATCGCGGGCAGTTAAAGTTTTATGGTTACATCATGCAACTACTGGAAAGATTGCAGCGAATAGAGAACGCCGTCAACAACGAATAAGATTCGTGAAGTCCTTGTGTCACTTGTTGAATATCACCACATTTCAATTACAACAAAGCGTTAAAGATCGGGTTTTATGGAGGTCGATGGTCGCCAATGTCCTGAATGGATAAGGCACGAGAAAGAAGAAGATATCCGCATTCTCCAAACATTAATATTTCGTCAAGTTTGTTAAAAATAAATGAAACAAATATTAACAAAACCTCCTGAAAAATAAAGATCAATCCTCGTTTATAGTCTCCATCCGTTATGGGTCGGACTTTTTTTATTCCATTCATCAGGATCTGCGACCAAGTGCCTTCAAGTCCTCCTGTATGGTCTGCCTCAAGGACTTCATTGGTTGACCTCTTGGGCGGGTGCCAGGCACCTGGTGCTCAGTAACGGAAATTATTGTATCGTTTTCGCTTCGCTTCACATGGCCAAACTATAGTAGGCGATGACGACGACATGCTTCTTCCAACGTGCACAGTCCCGATCAGTTCAGGATCTCGGTTGTATAGATATGGTCTCTTAGGTCAACATGCTGCATCCAACAAATCAACTTCATGTCAGTTCGGTTAAGCTGCTGTTCGAGTTTTGTTGTCATCGGCCAAGTCTCTGCACCATACATCAGAACAAAACGTATAGCTGTGTTGTATCCCTCTGAGCGCAGCGGTAGAAAAATGCTACGCCAAATCAATACCGAGGCAAGGAGGTGCCACCTGCCCCATGCCGCACGTATGCGTCCGCGAACAGCGGCATCAGCTGTTCCTGTACAATCCAGTACATCTCCCAAATACTGAAATGAAGTAACAGTTTCGATCCCGGTAATCGTATCATCATCTGGGCCCCGTTGTTGCGGGTTGTTGCTGGCAGGGCATACGAAATCAATTACTTTCCTCATTGAGCCGGTAGTTCTCGTTTGTGACACCACTGGTGACATCGTAGGTATTTGATCAAGTTGCTTCCAACTCCAGCCCCACATACCAAACATGGCCAATGACCAGAGACCACAGGCCCTGCGGTACCACCGGTGATCATAGTTTTTGTTTTGTCAAGGTTTACCCTTAGCTTGTGTTCGGCTAGCTGGGTATTCCAGACCTTAAACATTCTGGCTGCGTCTTGTTCCAAGGCCGCCGTCAGGACAATATCATCCGCACATATCACATTCTACATGTTATCTGAGCGTATCGATTTAGTTATTGTTTCAATCCCCGTGATGAAGAGCAGGGAGCCGAGTATTGATCCCTGATGGACGTCGACGTTAATGTCAAATTCATTCGTGTTTCCGGCTGTTGTGCTGACCAGAGGTCTTGTGTTAGAGTACGTTGCCATAACCAGCCGAACCAGATATTCGGGAACAAACTTTTATATCTGATAAAATGTTCTGCCTTCTTCTTGAAGTAGGTGTTCAACAGGGAAAATTCATGGCTTTCAGCAAATTCCAGAATCCGTACACGTCGTCGTCCACGATGTCTATGGAGACCAAAGCCTCCATAACCCATTTGCTTCATCTCTAACATTGCCGTTAAGGTTGCCACATATCAATGGTATCTCTGATGATGGTGTTTTCTTGACGGCATCTGAGAGTGTGTTCCAGAAGTCATTTTGGCGTCTTCAGATTCACTGGTCTGTGGTTTATATGCAGAGAAATCAGTCAGAACTTGTTTTCCCATTCTGAGTTTAATCAGCAATAGGTGTGAGCTGATTCGAGTCACCTCCAGTACATTTCTTGCCAGTGATTCGTATGAAGATTTTTACTCCATTTTGGACTGTCTTTTGGCCATTCCAGTACAACTTGTAACTCCCAATGAGAAAGACACCCTTTGATTTTCATCTTGTTTCCTACAGAAAACAGATGTCAAACCTTCGCCTTTCCAGCATGTCGACGATCTCCATGAAGTGTCCAGTAAGCGATTCAATATTCAAGTGCCAAGCGATTCAAGTGCCAAGTCTGATATTCCAGGAAGGGTCGCCCAATTTTCTACAACATCCCTCTACTGTTGCATACTTCCTTGATATTGTCACCTTTTGACCATTTAAGATCTTCCAGGGAATATTGGATCTTTTCTTTTTTTGTAAAGACATGGAAGATTTTTGGGTAAAAAAAAATTTATATCTGGAATTACCCAATTTCTAACGATAACCACCAGTTATAAGCAGTGGGCCTAATCTTTTTGCTAGAAGCACACAAGGCAGCGCTGTTGCAGTTTATCTCGTATCCAAGAGAGCACTGTTGTAAGCAGTGCACCTAGCCTTTGGGTCAAAAGTCCCCGTTCCACAAGGCAGTGTATTTAGAAAAGAAGATCCTCCACTGTTGGAGCCGTTGTCCTAGGATTCTCCGCCTCTTTCACTGTTGTCTTTTTTTTGGTACAGTTGGTTCGCGGCATCTTATACCATATTATTCGATGCAATCCTAGGTCTCCCTACTCAGGACTTCCCCTATCCACTACCTGGGGACGCTCCTCATAGACAGTGCACCCCAGCATGAGAGCACCCAAGCTTGAGATTACATTAGATATTCAATCAATCAATCAATCTTCGTTTAGCGTCCAGAGACCCAGTTCCCCGAGGTAGGACGTTGTTTTCTTTGCCATCAATTTTTTGCGCCAAATTGGACGATCAGTTGTATCCATTTCATTTAAATTTAGAGCTTTCATGTCTTGCTCGATTGTTTGCACTGTTTCCACTTCGTTTGACATTACCAAACCACCGCAGATGGTGTTGCCGGCATTCGTCCTTTATATCATCTAAACCAGCACGACGCAGTTTTTGGTAGATTTGATGTGGTCCTTCAGACAAATTCGTTGCATCCATCGGAGCATTTTCATATCGGTTCGTTGAAGTTGTAGTTCCAGTTTGGTTGTCATTGCCCATGTTTCTGCACCATATAACAACACCGGACGTATTACAGATTTATAAAGTCTTGATCGTAGTGGTAGTGGGATGTCACGCCGCATCAATATAGAAGCAAGAAGATGCCATTTATTCCAGGCTGCACGTATGCGTTGCTCGAACGACAGCTTCAGCTGTTCCAGTACAATCCAGAACATCCCCTAGATATTGAAACGATGTGACTTTCTCTACCTTAATGGCTTCAAAAACAATGGTATCTCGTATTTGTTGTTGTGGATTGATGCAAGCAGGACAAACAAAATTGGACACTTTAGATAAAGTACCAATTATTTTTGAACAACGTTTGTGACACCACTGGTTACACTGTTAACACTTGATTGAATTGTTATCCACACCAGTTGTACAAATTGAACAGGGCCATTGTCCAGTAGCTGTGGATTGGATGGGTTCACCAGTGTTCATTGCTTTGGTTTTGCTGATGTTGACTTTGAATCCATGATCGGCGAGTCTGGTGTTCCAATCTTTAAACATCTATGCTGCATTATGCTCAGACGTGGCTGTTAAAACGATATCATCAGCATATATTAGATTCCAAATGTCACCACTGCGTATCGGTTTTGTGATTTCTTCTATCACAGTTATAAATAACAGTGGACTGAGAATCGAGCCTTGGTGAACTCCAACGCCGATGTCAAATGCATTTGTGTTTCCAACCGTTATGCTGACGAAAGTCTTAGTATTCGTATACATTTCCATCACAAGTCGAACAAGATATTCTGAAATGAGTTGTCGACGTAGACTCCATTAGATATTACATATAAATTTATCTTTCGACTATTAACTAGTTTATTTAAATAGATGCAGATACAACACAGTTAATAGAATTTGGAATTTAAACAAAAAACACAACTATAATTAAGTTAAAATTATAAAACTAGATATAAACTTAAACAAATTTAACAGCAAAAGTTCATCAAAATAAAATTAAATCAGAAATGTCTGAGTAATCCAATATTAAAATTGATATTTCAATTACAACCTCTTGCACTAATGCTGAAACCTATAAGCCTATATAAAATTATTAAGTTGAAAAAAAGTTAAAAATATACCCAATTCGTGAAAATAACAACAAAGAAACAAGCTGAATAAATTTAATACCACAAGAAAATTAAGTTACACAAGCCAAAAGCAGATCACAAAATAAAAAGTTATTTATTTTATATCTAACTAACATTCCACAAGCAAAAGCAGTTTAATAGCCAAAACCAGTCCCAAAATGTTATTAATTCTTTATATTGCTATAACCGCCGGAAGGATCGAATTGCGCTATTTTATTTGGTATCTTAATTTATAAAGGATCGTAAAAAGAAGCCTATATAAGATCCTGCAGAGACCCAGATTTCCAGCGAGGTTTGATGCGAAGTCGTAAATGTGATTTATGTAGTTAATTGGATTGGTTTAGTATTTTTATTGCTGTTGGCATTCAAATAAACGCTCAAAAAAGTTTGCGCTTGAAGCCGTTTTGTTCATCTATCGGAAATCTTTAACCTACGGAATAATGAACACATGATGATCGTTGGAAGCTACAACACTGGTGTTTGAAATATAGAGATCATAGAAGTGATAACAATGGTGTTTGAAATATAGAGATTATTGAAGTTATAACATAGGTAGCATTAATATGTTCGGCAGAAACACTTTCCAAAAATAATAAATTCTTTATATGCACAGAAGCAGTCCTCAAAATTGTATAACCACCAACCAATTAGTTAACAATTATAATTATAAAATTATATCTGTCTTCTGTTTCATTTTATGTGAAGAGAAAATGTAGACAAACAAAATGGCAGTCGAATGTTTAAAAAAAGATCGGATAACATTTAACAGCAGATCAAATAAATTAATTTGCATTTAATTTATATTTTACTTAATAAACTAAGTATAATTTAGTAGTTAATAACAATCACTTTAACTGACTTTCACTAAAACTACGTGAAACAGTTTAATTCCATACGACGAGCGTGAAATCTGCAACCAAAAAAAAAAACTAAGTCTTTGTCAGAAATTTTAGTTAACTATAATGTTAATGAGTTTAATAATAAATTATTTATTGTATGATAATATTAACGATGCTATTGTGTGTACATAGACTGGTCGAGTAGGAGAGACTTGTTGTCGCGTAGAAGGTCATCGTGGATGTATAACAGACATCAAATGGCATCCTTTTGATGACAAAGTCATTGCTTCTTGTTCTGATGATGCTTCTGTAAGTAAAAATGTGTTATTTGTTATCTAAACTTCAATTTCATTTAATGTTTTGTAAAATTTTTTTAATAATCAAAATCAACGCCAACAAATAATTTGTTAAAGGTAAATGAGACAATTTGACACTGGTTACAGTTTTCATCATCTTTATTTTGTTTTAAAATGCTGAAAAATTAGTTTTTAAATAAATAAATAAATGTTTTTAAATAAATAAATAAATGTTTTTAAATAAAATATATTATTTCACTGTATGTAAAAGAATCAATCAATCTTCGTTTTGCGTCCAGAAACCCAGTTCTCCCGAGGGGAACGTTGTTTTCTTTGCCATCAATTTGAGGGGAACGCGGTTTTCTTTGCCATCATTTTTTTGCTCCAAATTAGGCGATCAGTTGTATCCATTTCATTTAAATTTAGATCTTTCATGTCTTGCTCGATTGTTTGCGACCAGGACTTCTTTGGACTGCCTTTGGGACTTGTGCCAGGTACTTCAACATCTGCAAGAGAAGTTATGGCACTGTTTCCACTTCGTTTGACATGACCAAACCACTGCAGACGGTGTTGCCGGCATTCGTCCTTTATATCATCTAAACAAGCACGACGCAGGATTTCGTTAGATTTGATATGGTCTTTCAGACTAATTCGTTGCATCCATCGGAGCATTTTCATATCGGTTCGTTGAAGTTGTTGTTCCAGTTTGGTTGTCATTGGCCATGTTTCTTTATGTAACAGAGCGTTAAATAAAGAAGGCAGTACATGTCTAATAGAAAATTATTTCTTATAACAAAATTCTCTTTTCGAACCCAGATGAACTAAGATTGATAAACTGTTTTATTATAAAAATAAAAACTTCAATTATTTTTATCATTTACCAGGGTTATTCTGTATTGAAGGGCCATGTAATAGGCGATCTTATCTACTACTTTACCTTTGTCAACTAGTAATGTTTAAAGTTTGTGTAAAAATATAAGAATCACCATAGTCTATCTCTATTCTTGAAGTTTCTGTCGATTCCTGAAATAAAATCCTTTTTGGTAGAATTTTTTTTGTTGAAACACTCATTTTTTTCAAATGCTTCTCTTTATAATAATAGCATTTATCAGAGTACCGTAAACTAGTAGTCGTGAACCCATTACTTACCCAATTTCATATAGTTTTTTAAAATGTGTCAGTGCCCACTAATAAATGCTGGTATATATATAAAACCAATTTAAGAAAAAATTTCTCACTATAATGAAAACGTTTTTCATTTTAAAACTGTCGTAAAAACCTTGAAAATTGTTAAGCGAAAACATTCTTTTTTTGTCACTTCTTTCAAATCATTTATTATTTCTATATTGAATATTAATATTTTTTAGTTTTTTTAAATTTGTTATTAAAATGATTCCTTAATTTCAAATTCGATATTAATGCTAACATTGTTAAATACAGTAAAAAATTTTAATTTCATGGTTTTTGATAATGGTAAAATGACAGGTATTGATTAAGTTATAGTCTGCCGAAGGCCTCTATTGTCTACATCCAGATTATTTCTTATTCATACAACTGGTTACATCAAATAAATTTAATGGTTGGGCATGTTCTCTGCATGTATAACATGATGTGTTGCGAACAAAATCATGTTTTTTACCGCATGGATCTTCTGATTGATGCAACTGTCTTAATTATGAACGCTAGATCGAGAGATTGGTAGGGTGCACGCATGTATATATCATGTGTTGAATCTCTAATTCAAACACATGGAATCCAAACTGAACTCGAACCTTTCATACGACAGAACTGAACCTGAACCTTGAAACATCCAAACCAGACGAGCTTTTTTTACCTTAACCAATCTATTGTCTACATCCAGATTATTTCTTATTCATACAACTGGTTACATCAAATAAATTTAATGATTGGGCATGTTCTCTGCATGTATAACATGATGTGTTGCGAACAAAATCATGTTTTTTACCGCATGGATCTTCTGATTGATGCAACTGTCTTAATTATGAACGCTAGATCGAGAGATTGGTAGGGTGCACGCATGTATATATCATGTGTTGAATCTCTAATTCAAACACATGGAATCCAAACTGAACTCGAACCTTTCATACGACAGAACTGAACCTGAACCTTGAAACATCCAAACCAGACGAGCTTTTTATACCTTAACCAAACTTTAGTCAAATTTTACAATTTTCTTATCTTCGCAAAGAACTCCGTATCACTAATCGTACCAACCGAAAAATGCTGTTGTTAACATTGCCGATAAAGCAAATGCTGTAATATGTTTTGTAAACTCTGCTGATACAAGCGTCGTAAAACACGTGTTGTGAAATTTTTAGCTTTTATTTTTGGCTATGGCCGAACTTCAGCTATTTTTCCAATTAGTATTGTATGTATATTTGTATCTACATGTACACATTTAAACATAACATTCATTTATTTATGTAATCACGTAATTTATGCATATCAATGCACATACTGTAAATAGGCAAAATGATTCGAAGCGAGAAAAATCATGTTAGTGTCACTCTGATTGACGATGAGGCTATCATATTATTATTATTATTATTATTCGAAAATTTATAAAGCGCTAATTACAAACAACAAAGTTTTTTATAATTTTATCTTAATTAGAGAGGGTACAAGGTTTGTGGGGGCTAAAGGTGGAAGATATAAGTTGTGGTAGAAGGGGGATGATGGTACGGGGGGAGTTGGTGTGATGGTAAGAGAAGAGTTGGTGGAGGTGTTGGAAGTGAGGCGGAAAAGCAATGGGGTAATTGTGGTGGTGATGGTGTTTGGAAAGGTAATAGTGAGGGTAATATCAGGATATGCTCCGCAACAAAGTAGGAAGGAAGAGGAGAAGGATAGGTTTCAGGATGATGTTTCTGACGAGATTGGGCAAGCGGGGTTGGATGAGTTTGTGGTGTTGTTGGGTGATTTGAATGTCATCTGGGGGCGGATGCAGATGGATATGAAGGTGTACATGGGGGATGGGGATATGGTATACGGAATGGTGGAGGGCGTAGAGTGTTGGAGTTGGCGGATGCACATAGCATGGTGGTGGGGAATACCTGGTTTACAAGGGAGCCTGCTCGATTAATTACATATAGGTCAGGGGAGCATAGGTCAATGATAGATTATATATTGATAAGGGCGAAGCATAGAAAGTATGTAATGAATGTGAAGGCGATACCTGGTATGTTGCAGCATAGTATGGTTGTGATGGATGTGGCATCAAAAGAAATGGGGAGAAGGAAGAAGGATAAGTTTGTGGCAAAGAGAAAGACATGGAAGTAACAGGGTGCAGAGGTGAGGAAGGCATTTGAAGTGAAGGTGGCTGAAAGTTGGGAGAGTGGTAAGGATGGAGATGTTTGGGAGAGATATAGGGACTGTGTGTTGAATACGGCAGATAAAGTATGTAGATGGACGAAAGGAAAGTGTAGACATGGTGAGACGTGGTGGTGGGATGAAGATATAAGAAAGGTTTTTGAGGTTGAGAAAAAGAGGTTTAGGGTGTGGAGAAGGGACAGGACGGGGGAAGCGAAGTTTGAGTACAGGAAGGCTAAGAAGGTTGCAAAACGGGCAGTGGCAACTGCAATGACAAAAACATCAGATAGGTTAATGAGTGAAATGGAATTTGATGTGATTCGAGGAAAATGTTCAAAGTAGCAAAGCAGTCAATGAGGGATAGGAAAGATGTTAAAGGGAATGGATATGTTTGGGATGGATCTGGCAAGTTGTGCATAGATGAGAAGGAAAAAGCTCAGGTGTGGAAAGCCCGTATGGAAAGGTTGATGAATGAAGAAAATGAGTGGAATGGAGATGTGGAATCCACGGTCACACACGGACCGATAGAGAAGGTGACGATGGAGGAAGTAGAGAAAGCAGTTAGAGAAATGAAACTAGGTAAGGTGACAGGGGTTTCGAAAGTGGCGGCGGAACATTTAAAGGCGAGTGGGGTGATAGGAATTGAAGTTATGATGAGAATTGCTAACAGTATGTTTGATGATGAAGGTATACCTGAGGATTGGCGACACAGTATGTTAGTGCCGTTGTATAAGGACAAAGGAGATGTGAGAGATTGTGGGCCATATAGGGGTGTGAAATTGCTAGAGCATGGAATGAAGGTAGTGGAGAGGGTGCTTGAGAGAAGGTTGAGAAATATAGTGATGTTCTTGGTCAGTTCACCCATCGCTTGAGTGAAAGTGATGCTTGTTGACTTAAATCCAAACAATATGTGCTTGAATTCATACAATCCATCATCGTATACAAATGCTTTCAAATATCTTGACCGTTTCTCCATTGAAATTTGTCAGTATCCACTTCGAGCGTCAAAGCCACGAATTTATCGAGTCTTACTGATCTTTTGTAGTACTTCACGCACGTCAGGGGTGGGATATCCATCACCCGCCGAATATTTATTGACGTATCTGTAGTCGATCGCCAGCCTTACAGCTCCATTCTTCTTCAGGATACCTACAACTGGACTGGCCGTTTCACTAGTGGAAGGCACAATGATCTCTTGTTCTAACATCATCTTGATCTTGGACTTCACCTCCTTTTTGAGCAGTTCTGGTATTTTGTATGATCGCATTCGTTTGGGTCTAAATTCCGAACTTACCCTGATTTCATGCTAAACCGCTGTATAAAGTCCCACCTTGGGCGCAAATATCTTTTTGAAATTTAATTACCACCTTCTTCACCTGGATTTTTTGTTTCGTAGACAAACGTGATACATTTCCAATAAACTCATCTGTCGCGTTTGCCTTCTGATCACCCTTGGGTTCGTATAGCCGTAATTTACCAAATTCTAACCCTAACCGTTTCGAAGTATGGCGCAACTGCTAACAACGGCTTCCTCAATTTGGCTGTTGAATTTCCGCATGCGATGGTGCCTTTGTCCGTTGATTTTGACGACATAGAAATGAGGAGAGTTAACCTTCACCACATACCCTGGTCCTAGCCTTCGGTTATACCACTTATTTCGTAGCATGGCAAGGATCAGTATGATGAACGAATCTCCCAACCGGAACTGACGGTCCATACTCCGCAAATTGTACTGATGAGTACATCGCTGTTGCTCCCGTCCGCATGTCTCTCAGCAAAGATTTTTGCATCTTCAAGATTACTCCGTAGAGTCTTAAATAGTCGTCTACCAATTTTCAAGGGAAGACAACGATCTCCTATCCATGATTTTTTTTAAATTGTTAAGGGACCTCGGGCTAAGCACCAAATAACATTGTGAATGGAATTACATGCGTAGTCGACGAGGGTTTCTCACGCAGACTCTATGGGACAAAAGGTAACATCCGGTGCCAACTTCGTGGTCGATCCTTTGCTAACTTGAATATCATCACTCCTGATGCCTCCGGATGACCTGGGGAATAGATCCTTAAACTGCATCCCAAACTCTTTAACATCTCTTGAGTAAGTTGGCCGGTAAAGTTGGTACCTCGGTCTGAACTGATAATCCTCGGCACCGGAAAGGTCATAAAAATCTGCAGGAGAATATCACACGTGACCCCGGCGCTGATAGACTTCATGGGATATGCTATTGGTCATCTTGTGAACAAACCACGACCACCAGTGCATAGTTTTATTGTGGACGGGTTCCCGCCTCTGGTGATATCATCGGTTCGATACATTCCATGACTAAATGGGAAAACGGCATCTCATCGTTGCTCGGAATAAAAGTGATGGTGATCCTCTCCGATGTTTGAGTTGAAGCTCTCAATTGGCAGGTTTGACATGATTTACAATCCGTTTCCTGGTCGATTTGGCTACCATGTGCCCAGCCGTTGGCGTATCATGTCCCAGCTCCAACACTGTTTTGATCCTACTAGTGGGCAAACACAGCTGTCTCACCTTGTGACCCACAACTTTATCCTTGTGATATTATACATCATCTTCAATGCAGGAGTTCTTGTTGATCTTAACATACTGCCAATATTTTTAAAGTGAGGGACAGTTTCTTTCCGTTCCATTGTGCACTCTCTCTGTTCTTCCCCTCCTACTCCCCTGCAACCATTCGTACCAGTTGTGTGTATGTCATCCTCATCTTCATTTTCCTCACCTTTGCCACCGTCATCATCACTGACTTCCTCCGGCTCTATTACAACACCAACGTTACGTCTTCTTCCACTGTTTGTCCACCAACAGCTCTCACCATCCTAACATTTCGTCTTCATCCAGTCTACCCACATCATCTTTCATTGCACCAACCCTATCATTATCAATTTTTTTCATCACATCTTCATCAACATTGCCACCGACATTATTATTATTATTAAATTTGTTCTCTTCATCGTCTGCTCCGCCATTATCCCCACCATCATTACCATTAATCTTCTCCCCCTCATCATCTACTCTACCAACATTACTATTGTTAGTGACTTTTTCTTCATCATCTGCACCACCAGCTGTACCAATTTCATTGACATTAACTTTACATTTTTTACTTTCTTCCTCCTCATGACCATCATCAAATTTGCCTGTACCACTGACATCAAAATTACATTAATTACTTTTACCAATTTCTTCCTCTTCATGACCATCATCAAATTGGACTGTACCACTGACATCAAATTTGTATTTATTATTATTGCTCCTGCCATAAGTATTGTGGACATAATTTTCATCTAAACGGCTGACAACAAGTGGATTAATGTTATTATTACTGCTATAATTATTGCGGACATCATTTCCACCTAAACTGTTGACATCAAACTTACTATGGTTATTATTATTATCATTACTACTGCCAACCTTATTGCGGACATCAATTTCATCTGAACTGTTGACAAAACATTGATTAATGATATTATTATTATTATTATTATTACTGCTGTCATTGTTGTAGACATCATTTTTATTTGAATTGTTGACATCAAATTTACTAATGTTATTATTAATTTCTTGATTTCTTAGTTCACATTGGGTAAACCCAAACTCAGGATCATAAAACATCTGTCCTTTGCTTTCCTGCCCTAGGCCATCAATTGTTTTCATTCTCTTCTTGAGAACTTCACCCGGGGCGCTTTCCGTCTCTCCTTGCAACATCACAACCGTGCGCACCCGGTATTAGGGCACACCAAGTCTCCATGACTGGTGCAATGACTTTCCAATGTTTCTGCTTGGGAGTCAATGTTATCCAGGCGGCGTCTAATTTCTTGCTCTGTCCATCCAGTCCTATGATTTGTAGCTGACCCATTTTATCTAGATTTGAAGCATCAAAAAAAATTTCGCTCGCTGATGCAACATACCTCTGCTCCACTATCCACCAGAGCATCACAGAATTGTTTACCTTGTACCTGGACCTTCACGAAGGGCCTTTGAAAAATTTTTCGGCTTGTGTCTTTTTACCCCTTCTATCTTGGGTCTGTTCGTTTAATGGACCGTTTGACATCTGCTTCACTTAGCATCTCATGACCCATTTTGTTGGTTTGTCATTTATTTTTTTCGGACAATGTTTGGCAAGATGTCAGGTGTTACCACAGGTATAACACCGCTGAAACTGGCCCCCCCTTTTTATCTCCATCTTCGGCCACTTTATGTTCATACTACCTTGATCCATTATCAGTCGGGTTTTATACCCTGCCGTGAAATAGGTAGAACATGTCATATTCATGTTGGCTTCTGCAATCCTTAGAATATGTGGATTGTTGTTGTAGTGAATTATTTCCACATTATTGTCAAAAATCTTTCTGGTAGTTTTTGTGTTGGGTTTTTCTTTCAGGTGATTCTTCATTGTTCCTGACTGAACATGCATGGTGGGCCTTCTAGATAATTTGGTTTTTGTTATCCCGATGTATTCAGAGTTTTGGTGTCCACGCTCACCCATTTCGCATTTATTTGAATACACTTGTTTTTGTGTTATATATATATATATATATAATGTGTGTGTGTGTGTGTGAGGTTTTTTTAGTGCGCATGTGGAATGAATGGCGTATTTTTTTTAGCGCGCATGTGGAATGAATGGCGCGCATGTGGAATGAATGGCGCGCATGTGGAATGAATGGCCCGTATTTTCCGACCCGGAAATAAAAAGTTGTGAAGAGGCGAGTCCCGGCCAGAAGCAAGACTGCCTAGGCTGGCGGTGGCGGCTGTTGATATTCGAGCAAAGGAAAAATTTCGCCGCGCGGCAAAAGTTCACAATTGGCGCCCAACGTGGGGCCTCTTCTTCAAAAGTTTTAGGTGACAGGTATAGCAGGAGTCAAGGTGATTACCCTCGTCAATTTTTAGGTGACAAGTATATCACAGATAAAATTAAAATTGTTTCTCCCAAACTTTTAGGTGACAGGTATGGCAGTGACCGCAGTGAAATTCCTAATTCCAAATTTTTAGGTGACAGGCACGACAGGAGCCGTAACGAAACCTTCCCAACTTTTTTAGGTGACAGGGCTGGTTCTACCGAAAATATTTTAGATTTTAAGTATCAGGTAGGTCAACATTCAGTACCGGAGGCAGATGTTTGTAAAACTTCTCCAGGATTTTCAGGTAATGGGTTTGACGACGCACAGAAAATTTTCAGTTTTAAGTCTGCGGAATTCGCGCCAGAACAAGTTTTACCAGTTTATAAGCCTACGCCAGCACAAAGGCTCTCTGTTATTCGTAAACGTAATAATGTTTCAAATTCTAGGAATAGGTGCAGAATGGTTCAAGAGGATGAAGAAGTCGAACACAGTCCTTCGTTTGACAACCACAGGGAATCACTGCATTGTCAGCCGAGTGTAAATACCAAACATCACAGGTTGGTCCGACATCAAGAGCTCTTCAAACCAGACAAGTTTGATGGCACTGGGTGTCTCAAAATTTTTCTTAAGAAGTTCGAGATATGTGCTATGTATAACCAATGGAGTATGGACGACATGGAAGCGTATCTGTCATGTTCGTTGACAGGTGAAGCTGCTGAAGTTCTTTGGGACTTAGCGGGACTAGGTTATCAAGAATTAGTAACAAAGTTAGAAAACCGTTATGGAACGAGTGGTCACGAAGAGTCGTATAAATATGAGTCGCTTCGTGAATTATCACAAACGGTGTTGTTGCCCTGCGTCAGACATCATTGGAGGGATCCAGACGAAGCCGTAGCCAGTTAGCCACGGCCATCGGGTTACGCCAGAGATCTATTATCGTGAAATGAGTTGGGTTTTTTGGGCAGTTTAACAGATGGGGAACATCATCAGGAAGTAATTGGCATATTGGACAGATGTTGCTGACCCTACTGTCTATTTTCGATCTGTAGCTGTTGAGGGAGATGCAGTGACCAGAGCGGAGCTGGGCCAGTTTTCTTCTCAACGCTGTGGGCAAACTCTCCTCTGCCTTGTCTATTTTGGGTGTTGGAGGTAGCCATCTGTTGAGCAGCACAGCGGCATGATATGTCTCCGAGGCGAGTTTTGCAGCACTGCAATGCAAGGCCGATGAAGCTGCCTTTAACGCTCTGCTGCCTTTAACGCTCTGCTGTCGGTATCTGTGGGCAGAACGGTTTGCACTGTCTGTACATATTTGCTGAATAATGTGTGTTTTATATTTCTGTCGGGTCGTGGTTCTCTTGTGATGTGGTGGCAAGGGTGACTGGTATTATGGCATTGTAAAAGGAATTGAGATGATAGTAGGTCAGTATGCTGATTTACTGATAGCATCAGGCATTCAGAGTGGAGATGTTGTTCCGATGCTATTCCGTGGCATCCGGTGATTACCCGTAAAGCAGCGTTTTGTGAGCGTTGTAGTCTGTGGTAGCTTGTGTCGGAAGTCAGTGGAGACCAGGCATACTCAATAACTGATCGGCCAATCGCCTTGAATGTCTGCATTAGTGTTTCCTTGTCTTGGCCTTAGGTTGTTCTACTGAGAGCTTTTAAAATTGAGTTTCGCTTAGAGGCCTTAGAAGCTGACATCTTGTGATGCTGCGAGGAGAGCATCATGTCAAAGGTAAGGCCTAGAATTTTTGGGTTATGCTCTAGAGGAAGAGTTTGGTTATTGACTTTGACTTGCGGGTGATAATGGTATTGCGATGTGTAAGTGGTAAAGAGTGTTATTGTGGATTTGGATGTTGAGATCT